CCCACATACGGAAACACAGATCTCATAGTCAGTGGAGTGGGTAGGCTAACTGGTAAATATCTGGGGATGAAGTTAGATCCATTGACCTTTCCCCTAGGAGAGTGTTGTGTTATTCGGAATCGTGCAAAATGGAAACATTTAATTCACATTCATACAATGTATATGACCTTGGGGAAAGGAAGGCCTTTCTTAAAATGATTATAAGGCTAGAAACCAGCAAAAAGCCTACATAGAAGAGTAAAAAATTATCTGTGGCAAAGGACAGGAATATCACTGCACACAGAAAGTGAAAAATGACAAACTGGGAGAAATATCTGCAACATATGAGGAAAAAATTCAGTCTTGATAGCCTTAATATATAAAGAACTTTTCAAAGTAAATAGCGAAAACACATCCCCAATGGAAAACTGAGCAAAGATAAGTTCACAGAAGACACACATGGCCCATCTGAATATCATAAATGTCATGCATGGCATGCAAATTAAAACAGCAAGTCAGTAGCAAAGGTCATCCTGGAAAGAGTCAAAAAAGAAGTGTCCCCCCCCCACAATGAATCTTTTCAAGCTTCTGGATCAGGTACCAATGTACAGGAAATACAGAGGTCACAGCAGCACACAGAACATGAGAGAAATATCATTAACAAAATTTTAAACTAAAGTTACCAACTAGTTTTGAAAAATAAACTGTTAGGGGAAAAGATGCAGGGAAACCCCCCACCAGGAGACTTGGGAGCATATCCACTGGCCACAATGTGTGCACCGTGCCTGGGTCCAGATGCAAAAGCTGTAAAAAGCAACGCAAAACAATCTTTTGACAAAGCATGTGAAATCTGCTCAAGGACTAGACATTCCACGACAAAAGGAATTATTGCAAATTTATGTGAAGAATGACGATCATACTGTGGTTATGCTTCTTAAATGTCTTGTGGGACACACATTAAAGTGATCATGGATGAAATAATATCACATCTGGTATTTACTTTCAGAGTAGAGGGGAGATGTAGGTGCAGAGTGGCTGAGCAGGACTAGTCATGAGCTGACTGGCCGCTGCTGGAGGTGGATGAGTTCAAACTACTTAGACATATTAGAAAGATTCCCAGTTAAAAAAACCCCAAACAACAACAACAACAAAAAACTCTGCCCGGTGCTAGAGAAGGGACAGGGGAAGAGACATGGTGCTGAGAGCCATAGCCAAGTAGGAATGACGCATGGCAATTTCCTTGTCAGCCTACCCCATGTTGCTTAGAGGGAGGACTCTCCATTGTGGAAATGGGCTTGCCTTGGACCCAGGTCATTTGCAGTGACATTGCATGAATGTTTGAGAAAGGTGACCCTGCTCAAGGACCAGGGCAGATCCGGGTTTAGGGCGGTTCCAGGTTTAAGGTGGATCCTGCTGGGAATAGGGCGTATCCTGCTGCCTCGGGCACCCGCTCTTTGAGTTCCCGTTGAGTTCTCGAGGGATTCAGAGAGTATTTGGTATGCAGAGCCCGGTGGAGTGTGAACATTTTCCCAGAACTTGCGTGTAGAGTGCCGGTGACAGTTCGGGAATAAAGAGCTGCTGTTTGAATCTACAAGGCTTTTGTGGTGGCTCGGTTATTTTGTGCCCAGCCAGACTGCGGCAACATGGGTTCTTGGTATCCCCTTTCCAGAGGGCAGAAACCGGAATATACCTTCTAGCAATTCTACTTCTGAAACGCTTTTATGAATATGATTATAAAACTTACAAAATGTGTGTAAGAAGGTTTATAAAGCAGTTTTTGTACTAATAGGTCAACAGATACATCATACAACCTAAAGAGGCCTGGGTAAATAAACCATATATTTCCATTCAATGGAATACTATGTAACCATTTTAAATAATATTTATTGACATAAACTATGCTCATGACCCTAACAGTAAAGTCTGTTTGTGGGAATATATGTTAGATGAAAAATTTGTGAGGATGCACCTTAAGATGTTAACTGTTATGGTTCAGATGGGGGGTGTCCCACAAAAGCTCATGTGAGACAATTCAGGAATTTTCAGAGATGAAATGATGATGAGCTGTGGCCTAGTCAGCAGAGAGATCCACTGATGTGGATTAACTGGGGGTGACCACGGCAGGCGGGGTGAGGGAGAAGGAGGTCGCTGGGGTGTGCTGTGATATTCTGCCCCACTTTGGGCCCAGAACCATGGGGTTAGTGGATCTGGTCTGCACCTCTGAAGACATGAGCCTTCTCCTCCCCTACATTGCTCTTCTAGTGACTTTTGGTCACTGTGACATGAAAGCTGACTAAAACAGTAATGTTAGTTATTTTTCGTAATGAGGTTACAGGAGACTTATTTTTCCTTTTCACTTATCTATAATTTAAACTTTTTCTTTAATAAGTACGGATTTCAGGTACAATGTTTAATGTTTATAAACAAATATGGAAATGAACTTTTAAAAGGAGGCAAGATATTTCAAATGACGTTAATAGGTCTGTCTTTATTAACTTGGCAGGCATTCAAATTTTCTGAAATGATTTTTGTTTTATAATTTGTTGGTTTAGAAGCAGCTATAAACATATTATGTGGAATTATTAAAAGTATACTTTGGTATTTTCAGCCCCTCCACAAACAAAACAATAGTGACAGATTAGAAAGAACAAATTGAAAATTGATCTAATGAAATACAAACAAAAATGCCTATCTGTTTCCTCAGGGTGTGAGAAAAGGTCTTTTTCTTGTCTTTTAACAAGAAAACAGAGAGGAAGTGCTTTAAAGGGATAATCAGATTTCATGCTTGTCATGGGCAGCGTCAAAGCCTAATTTAGCAAAACCCATGCAAGTTCTGCCTGTGAGCCAACCTGCTTTGGTACCTGGGGTGTTGCCAAGTCAGTGTGGCCAGGAGAACGGTCCAGGGTGAGGATCTGCCCTGCCACAGGGATGACCAGGCCACCCCCGCAGGGTGCAGCCTCGTCACCCAGCACCCAGCCTACTGCAACTGGGCAGCCAGGGAGAGATGGCCAGGTGACAGCCTACTCAAAGGTGGGACTTTCCTACTCAAAGGTGAAACCTTCTGCCACCTTTTAAGATGACTTTTGCATATGGTGGTGTGGGAAGGGTTCGGTACATAGCAGCACTTAAGGACCAAAACAGAAGTCCATGTTGGGAGGGCCTGTGCCAGGAGGCCCGTGGTGGACATCGGGGAACAGTATGATGCTTCCCTTTCTGTATTCTCTCTGTTTGTCCACAAGGGCAGGGGTTATTTGCATGAGGGTGAGAAGGCACTTGAACAGGAATCCACCAAGGCCTCACACCTTTTTGGCTGGGGGCCTTAAAGAGAGACGCTGGTTAGGGAGCAGACACTGAGCTTGTGGCTAGGGTGACTCTGGAGCTGGTAAGGTGGGTCAGAGGCCAGGGGCATCTATGACAACCAAGCAGGTAGAGGTGGGCTGGGGGTCGTGCTGCCAGACTGTCAAGCTGCCAGCTTAAGGACAGCATGGCCAACCGGGATCCTGCTGTGAGACAGGCCAGAGTCGGAGGGTTCTGAGGGGGCACCAGTGAAGGGAAGATGGGTGGCAAGACTGGGGTTTCAGAGCATTCTATTTGTGACCTGACCTGCACTGAAAATGCAGACAAAATACAGACGTCACATCCTTCACTGCCTGTCACAGCTCCTCTGTTCAGGGCTCTTTCTACCACCTGAGACATGCAGGCGCTGTAGTAAAACTGGCAGGCCCCCACTTCTGGCTGGCCTCCTGCCCGCTCTGGTCATTTCCATGCTGCCGTACCTTGCAGGACCTTGGGCCCTGTCAGAGGGAAGGCTGCTTTGCATCTGGAGGGCTGTGCAGCAGGGAGCAGCCAGCCCTCTGACTGTGCTCTCATCTTCAAGGCCCAGGACAAATCCTGCGGCTTCCACCCGCACCACACAGATTGGAGAAATCACACAAGGCCCTATGTGTGACCCTGGTCTGCAGATTCTGGCATGGGGGTATCTTCTATGGGGCAGGATGATGCTCAGGGGCTGTTTCATTCATTCATATCAACAGCCAAGGTGATTTCTGTGAGGGCTGGGGATGTGGCTCAAGCGGTAATACACTCGCCTGGCATGCATGGGGCACTGGGTTCGATCCTCAGCACCACATACAAATAAAATAAAAATGTTGTGTCCACCAAAAACTGAAAAAGAAATATTAAACAAAGTTTAAAAAAAAAAAAAAGGTGATTTCTGTGAGGCTGCATTTGCCAAAATACACAGCCATGGATACAGGGGCATCTCTGTAAGTTTGAGGGAAAAGGAAGAATTTACACACAAAAATAATGTGCCCCCCCCATAAACACCAAGGTATGTATCTCATTTTGAAAAGATAACAAACTACAACTCTTTGAAAACATTTTGCTTAAAGCACAAATCCCAACACCTTTTCCTGCTCTGGCAAGGAGCCATGGTTGTTTGGGCACGGGCTGGTGTTCTCCAAGCTGCTCTCGGCCCTGGCACCTTACTCAGGGTTAATGGCACTGTGTCCTGTGATTCTGGATAATCAAACTGCAAGTGGCACTGCCCTAGTGTCCCTCCACTGCTGTATCTTCCCCTGGTCCATCTTGGCATCACTGAACTCCCCCCAGGACTGCACAACACGTCATTTATGGACTGGGCTCTTCCAAATGTCAGTGCTGAGAACGTCCCTGGCAGGGAGCATGGCCTGTGGAATAAAGTGATAGAAACATGGAGTGTTCCAGGGACTCGGGCTCTCCTCCCGCTTTAGAAGGTTTATAAGAACTTGAGATCAATTCTCTAATCCAGTGATTTCTTTAGGAACTTGTCTATCATGCGAACAGGCCATCTTGGGAAGCTTTTAAACCCGGAGAAAATAACACTAGTCTCCACAGTTCGATGATACATCGAAAACCCAAGAGAAAATAAGCAATTTCCATTTTAATATGGAGTGGGTCCTGTCCCTGTTAACTTCAATTGTAGAATTACATAGAATAGATTGGATACTAGCATTTAATAAAATCCACTTCAAGATTATAGAGCATTTTAAATATAAAAAATAAGTCTTTTAATTAAAAAGAGTATGTGAGTAGCCCTGGATACATCTACAAAACAATCCCAAAGTATAAAAGCAAGGCAACATCTGGATATGATTCCCTGAGCCACAGGGCTCCCAAACCTCACAGGGGGGTTGATACAGAACTTTTTTAACTTTTAAATAATTCAGCTGATTTCCCTCTCCAGCAAGACACGTTTGAAAGGCAGCTATAGTGAGTCATAACGACTTAGGGGCTCTCTAGAAGTAACGCAGGCTCTGTAGGCTCTTGTGCAGAGGACGCAGGGATTACCTGAACGAGAGGGCAAACAATCCCCCAGCAGAGAGCGCCAGGCTGCTGTTTGAACAGGTGGGCGCCCAAACCCATCTGCAAGGGATTTACATTTGCTGTCACACAGAGGATTCAGAGCCAAAATTGGAATCTTCCCTTTTCCAGTTTGCATCTTCTAACGGTTCTCAGTGTGGTTAAAATGCCCCTGCAAAGATAAAAGAGCACATTGTGCAAATTAAGTGACCTTGGCCAGATCCACACACTTTGGCTCTATGTTCACTGACACAATGCACTAACCCTGGTAAACAATGCCTTAACTTCTGTGGTGACTGTATATTTATAGATGTATTAATAGATATACATCGCAATGAAGATATTTAGAGCACTTCCAATAATGCCTGGCACATGCAATGTTCTCAATAAATATCACACCCCAGTTCTCCTACAGAGTGAAAATGAAAAATCATTTATCTAATCATAAGATAAATTTAAAAAAATGATGTTGCCTTAAATGCTGGATCAGGATTCAAGACCAGAGAAGCAGAGCATGCTCCTTACCAGGGACATCTGGAAGGGGCCCAAGTGCACAGCCACCCTGTCAGGCCCCGCTCTCCCCCTCTGCAGCAGGCCTCCCACCTCTGCACCTTCTCCCACAGGAATAACTGGGAAACCAGATGGCTGGGACGAGCTGGCCAGAGGCTGACCGGCTGCACAGGGAGAGGACTCGCCAGCAGCCAGCGATCTCTGTTGCACTTGGCTGATACGTCAGCACACAGCAGTGTGGCTCCTGGCCCACAGGCAGAGGCAGGCTGGGCATCCCGCCTGCAAGGACTGCCCCAGAATAGTAATGAGCTCCCTGGGCTGGCTGAGGCCCAGGAAGGCTGGGGCAGGTCAGGTGGTGAGGGGCAAATCAGGCCAGTCCACAATGGCACCCATTTCCCAGAAGGCAGGTGCTGCCCTGAGCCCCAGGGGCCTGACAGGAGACTCAGGCCTTGCCTGGGAGACTCACAGGTGGCAGCATACCGCTGCACACTGAGGGCTCATTTGGGCAACTAGAACAAAGAGCCAGGGAAGGAAGCTCAGGAGTCCACCTGACTGGGGTGAGGAGGGCTTCACACAGGAGAGGTGTCTCGGATGGGCCATGACAGAGCAAGAGGATCTTACACGGCCAGAGGGCCTCCCAGGCAGCAAGAACAGCACGAGGTTAGAACATTCCAGAACTGGAGAAGCCCTCACAGTGACAAGGGCCAGCAGTGCTAGCACATGACGGGGACAGGACCCGTCATGAGGTGCTGAGGCTGTGGTGCACGCATCCCGAGGAGCACAGGTGCTGCACCAACGCCAGGCCAACCCCCCCCCCCGCCCCCCCGCCACTCTCACTTCACCAAGGACCTTCGGAGACAAGCTTCTTCCCTGCAGTCCTCGAGTCATTCACAGACCTGTGGCATCGTCCCCTGAGTGGGCAGAGAACACAACACTTCCTGGACTTCTCCACCAGAGGCTCCTCAGCCACAAGGTCCTCAGGGCTGTGAGGATGGGGAGAGGAGGCTGGGAAGTCACACGCAGGTGCACAAGAGGGGAGTGGCAGGAGCCCAGTGCTCTCCTACAGAAGAGCGGGGTCAGGGCTGGGGACGAGGGACGATGCTTTTCACTTAATTTCATCCTCATCACTACCAGGGCTCAAAAAACCATTTTAAAAGGTATTCATTGAGACCTGTCACTCTGGCCCCTGCCCCTGCCTCTTCCTGTCCAAGGAGGAGGACATTTGGAAGACACACTGGAGGCAGAACGGATGAGACTTGGGGACCAAGACAGCCGCATCCACGTGAGGCCTGATACCTACAGAACCTTTAGAAATCGTTCGTCTAATCTCCCCCGTCTCTGTGGCCTCTTCCCTCTGCTTCACACATGCAGTGTGCTGTTGTCTCTCCAGCATGGGGCCCACAGGGACACCTCCAAGCAGCCTGATGTCCCTGATGGATGTGGGTGGTCCCATGTGGTCTGCAGTCCTGGGGTGCTGGGGCTCCCAGGCGACACACACCAGCCACCAGAGGCGCATCTGATGATGCCTGTCTGAGCACAGGGTCCAGGGAAGTGAGGCTCACTCTGCCTTGAGTGGACACTCACTCCAGAGCACAGCACCTTGCTCTGGCTGGCTGGCCTTCCGCAGGGATCTGACAGCAGCCGCAGGAAACATCGCTTTTGGTAAAATGCAATTCCAATGTTTCACCACCGAGCAGGAGAGAAAGGCGCTTTGGGAAGGAGTTTTCATCTGCTTCTGATATGGGGATGAAAGGGCTCAGGTCTGGCTGCTACCAGCCATGTTCCCTGCACAGCCCACCCTCTCTGCTTCCTCAGGGCAAACTTGTGCAGCCTCAAGGTCTCCTTCCTGCTCTGTGGCAATCTCACTGGGTGCTCACCACAATTAACACCCCTTTCAAAGTTCCCACTTTGTGTTCTAGAGACTTGCCTTCATGGGCTCCCCATCCCCAAGGGGCCTGCAGAGCAAGCAGGGCCAAGAGTAGCTCGCCTTACCCCATATGGCACTGTCCCATGAGATACCCATCCCGAGACCCCATCCATGGTAAGTCCAGTTACACTGTGACCTGTGCACACTGGGAAGAGAGGCTTTGCCACATACCATTTTGCCTGTTTGCTAAGGCCATTTTTCATTAATATGCAGACTACTGGCTTTGGGGTTTCCACCTATCCTGAGTAACTATCAATGTGATAAAACAGCAGCATTTATTTGTGAGTTAAAACTGTCCATGATTCCTGCCATTGCCTGAGGAATCATTTCTTTCTTTAATAGCAGATTCGTCTTTACTGCCACAAAACAGGTCTTTCCTCAAAGGCTTGGACGACTTCAAAGGCTACAAAGAAATCTTGGACTTCTAAGATAACCATCCTTATTTTGCTGGCATGAGTCTTTGTATAATGAAATATCTTTATCATACCTACATCTGTCCATGCTAAGTCAGCATGCATTATGCACCTGTCCCATCTTCCTCCCTTCCTTCTTGGAGGGAGTCACTGCTCTAAGACAGCGCGCATGCATCCTTCTATATAAGGAAGTAGATGTATGTGAGAGCAGAATCACTGCAAAGGGATTAGCCACAAAGCTGTAGAAGAAGCCACAAGAGACCACGTAGGCCTAGATCAAAGGGAGAAGAGGAGCAAGCAGTCACCAGATCTGGAAGGAGAATGTGTTATGGATTGCTGGCCCCTTGAAAGAAACAGTGACATTAGCCAAGGCACACATCAAGTACCCTGCCCTCCCTCTCCAATCTTCTGCTGCCTTCCCCTGGAGTCCCCAGTGGCTGGACTCACAGACAAGTCAGAGAGCCCAGCTATCCCACTGATATGGACCACACAGCCTGGCTCCTGAGTAGAAGGCAGAGAACAATGGAAAATGGATCTGGAGAGGAAAACAACAAAGAAATCTCAGTCGTTGAACATACAGGACAGATTTTAAATCGGCTATTTAAGTATGTTCAAAGAACTAAAGGAAACCACAATTAAGAATTAAAGGAAAGCAGAACAACAATGTCTCACAAAATAGAGAAGAAGTATCAATAAAGAGACAGAAGTCTCTCTCTCTGTCTCTCTCTCTCTCTCTCTCGCTTGCACGCTCTCTCTCTTTTTCTCTCTCTCACTCACACACACCAGAAATTCTAGAGTTGAGATATATAATAACTGAGATAAAAAACTTACCAAAGAGAACTTAAGCAGGCAGAAGAAAGAGCCAGTAAACTTGAAGTCAAATAAAATTATCTAGTTTGAGAAACATAAAGAAAACAGAGGGGGCTGGGGTTGTGGCTCAGTGGTAGAGTGCTTGCCTGGCATGTGTGAGGCCCTCTGGGTTCACTCCTCAGCACCACATAAAAATAAATAAAATAAAGGTATTGGGTCTACCTTATTTTATTTAAAAATAAGCTTTATTAAAAAATAAATAAACTTTATTAAAAAACTAAAAAAATTAAAAAAGAAAAAAAAAGAGAAAAAAAAAAAAAAAAAAGAAGAGAGCCTCAGAGCGGTGGAGTGCCATAAAGTGTGCCAACATGTACACAAACAGGGGTCTCGGAGGGAAGAGAGGGGACAGTGCAAAATGATATTTGAATAATGGTTCCAAATTTACCAACTTCATTGAAATGTTTATTTATATATTCATGACAATGAATTGTAACTAACTTGGGCTGAGGTTATGGCTCAGCAGTAGAGCGCTCGCCTAGCACAGGCGGGACCTGGGTTCGAGCCTCAGCACCACATGAAAATAGACATTGTGTCCATCTACACTTAAAAAATAAATATTAAAAAAATAAAATAAAAATAAATAAAATAAAAACTGATGTGTGTTAAAAAAATGAATTGTAACTAGAATAAACCAAAAGGCATTCATAATTAGCACATCATAATAAAATTATCAAAAATCAAAGAATCTTGAAAGCAGAAAGAGAGAAATAACATATCACGTACAAGTGATCCCTCAATAGCATTAACAGCCAATTTCTCACCAGAAATCATGGAAGCCAGAGGCAATAAGATGACATAGTTCTGAAGCACTGAAAACCTGTCAGCCAAGAATTCTATACCCAACAAAACTATCCTTTAAAAATGAAACAGAATTAAGACATTCTTAGGCAAACAAAACCAGAAAACATACCACTAGTAAAATTGTAGAAATACTTAAGGGAGTCCATAAAAGGACATTAGGTAGTAACTCATGTCCACTTGAAGAAATAATATGAATGAGATTCTTCTACTTGATTATCACCAGAGAATACGTTTTTGCATGTGCATCTTCTATTCAACAACCCTGCTGAATATATTAGTTCTAATAATTCATCTGTACATTTTCTTGGATATTTTATGTAGATAATCATATCATCTGGAAATAACAATTTAGATTTTTCCCCCTTATTTCTTTTTTCTTGTCTTATTGTGTTAGCTAGGAACCTTGGTATATAGAGCAGAAGTAATGACAACAAGCATCTTCTCTTTTTCTCTCCCAACAATGGCAATATTGCAATAAGTACCTTGTTCCTCAACCTTTACCAGGATAAACTCTTCTACTTATGGTTTGCTAAGTTGTTGTGTTGTAGCTGCCATTCTGACTGGAGTGAGATGAAATCTTCGAGTAGTTTTTATTTGCATTTCTCTAATTGCTAGAGATGTTGAACTTTTTTTTTTTTTATATTTGTTGAT